GCAGTAAGGTCTGGAGGGCAACGCGGCAGTTATTTGGAAAAGAATAATGGCAGTCCGAGGGCCTGCCACATACATTTGTTTTAGTTGTGTGGTTGGCAAACCTTTCCAGCTGAAAGGTGTGTTCGTGGAACGAGGATCTTATAAAAGAGCATCACCCGTGACAGCTGGAGAAATAAACCCCCGGCAAGCACCCCATTTTCCCTTGGAAGGGGGCTGCTGTGTCTGTGGAATACACCTCATCGCCACGGTAACAGAAGACTGTTGGAGGTGTGTCAAAGTGGACTAACCTTGTACAAATTTCCTGTATGATATTAAGAAATATGTGTAAATATCCAATATAGCATAACAGGAAATGGAAATGTAGTCTTTTATATGATTGCATGGAAAGAATAACTGTGTAAGCTTTTATTAGTTGCTTTTAAAAAAACGTTTTTACTTTGTTCAAAGTGTTTCCTGGCGTGTTGACGAAACCCCTCAAATGAACCTTCCCCACTTCACGCGTTCCCACAAAAGTCCACAATTAGCTTATAATAGTCTGGTTGGGGGATAAAAGGTGAAGTGAGGTATTTTTTTGTGCAACTCAAGTGTTTTTAAGCACTGTGACATTAGCCCTTTTACACTGCCTGTTAAAGTCACTTCCCCCCAAGGTTACTTTTCTGTACAAAGGGCAAGGCATGGAATGGCGGGGAGGAGGACAAAGTCGACCCCGCAAGTTTTCTGCCTTTGGAAGTCGTATCAGAGCCGTGGCAGGATACCAACTGTGCGTAAGGCATTCATGCAATGCCATGTTGTGTTGAAAGCAATTGTTGCTGTTCGACAAAAGTATTCTTTATCACGCTGGGCGCTGATGTCACAGATCTTATTATCATAATGTGGTCTGCAGGGTCGTGGTGTGAAAAGTGCGCAGAGTAAAAGGCAAAGGCTGGCCTTCTGCTACGGCTCTGATCTGGCAATTTTGCAGGACCTCTGTAAAAGACGCTCTTGACACAAAAATGTCTGTTTTTGTTTTGTTTTGGGGTTGTTGTTGTTTTTTTTTTTAACTCTTTGCCACAAAAAAAAAAATATTAATTACAGTCCAACTGAAATGTTTGCGGGATAATTACTGCGCGTATAGGAGGTTTAGTGATTCCAAGTGCCAATTACAGAGTCCCGTTCGTTTTAATTCACAGCAGCAAAGGCATACATACACAAATCTATATTTTCCAACAAGAGCTAACCCCTAACACGTTTGTGTATATATGTAGAAGGGATTATTTTTGAACAGTCTTGAGAGCCCTATACGTAACAAACAGTATATCCTCATGAAACTTTAGCACTTGATGTGGTTGTGTACAGTAAATCACTGTCCGATACCTAGTCGCTTGTCACCTGTGGCATGACTCTTTGTGTGAGAATTCTATCTTGTGCGCGTGAGAGCGAGCTTGTTTGGGAGTGTGCGTGCGCGTTTGTGTTTTACATGAATCGACTTAGTAAGGGGTTGAAGTTGCCGGATGGTACTTGTACTCTCAGGAATGTGGAAAGTTTTGTTTCTGCCTCAGTCTGGAACCAGACCGGGAAGGGTTAAACTGTGCTGCCGTGAAGACCGGAGGCTCGTGTTGCAAAGTCACAAGGAGTGTGGTGACTGATGATGCTCATGATGATGATATGACCCACATTCTTCAAATGAAAACAAGGCAGAGGTCCTCATTTGGACCTGTAAACCTCAACATGGGACATTTGTCTCCCGGCCTCCTGGTTTATCGCAGTTTAACGCTTCTCTTCCTCGTTGTTGGGCCTCAGAAAATAATCATGCAGTTCACTACAGTTGTTCCTCAGTTCTCAAGCAGCAGTAAAAAGCAGGACCAGGTCAATGGGGACCGCCACACTACACTAGTAAGCCATATCAAACGCAAAAGCCTCGGTTTGGAGGAAGAGTTGACATTTGGTAGAGTGATTTTTGTTTATCTTCCAGAATGTTTCGGTGTAACCTTCAAAGTCAAACTCCACTTCCAAGTTTTCCCAATCTTGTTTGTTTTCCGCGAAAGAAATCATGTAAAGCAAATGGATTTTCCCAATCCGCTGCCATGATAAAGCCAACTAAAACGTAATCCGCAATCTTTTTTAAACATTCCTAGAACCACTGTATGATGCAACCGTTTCATTACGATGTTTTACTCACAATATAAAGTCTTCCAACTGAACGTCGAACAAGAACAGTTAGTAGTTGGCGAGCTTCTCTTCTTATCGGCAGGCTAGTGATTTGCTAGTGTGCTTTCAAATGTGATCAACATTAGTCAAGTTAACATTTATGCAATTGATATTACGTGTTTTTCATTTCCGGTTCTATTTTGTCGTTACACTTTTGCTCTCTGCCATCGCTGGTAATGTGTTTTAACCAAAAAAAAAAAAAACAAAATCACAATTACCTGTTTCGACATGTTTTGGAACTTTGTACTCTTCCTGGGGTGCTTGACTTTGGAGGTTGCACTGTACATCCTTGAGTGCGTGCGTGTGCGTGCGTGTATGTGCGTGTGTGTGCATGTGTGCGTGGTGAATATGGCGTCTCCTGTTCCTGAGTTGTTCTTGTATTTCTCAGGGGGAACAGTATTGGTTGCCCCTTGCGATAGCCAATCAGTTCTTGCGTTGCAGTATAAAAAAAATTGTAATATTCAAGAAACTTTCCTCACCGGTTGGGCTGAGTATTCTGGAAGCCCGTGTGTGGGACTGCTCAACTTGAATAAGTGTGCGCGTGTACGTGAGTGAAAGAGAGAGTGAGCGAATATGTGTGTTTGTGCAAGCATGCTAAACATGTCACTGTCAAACCATATTTTCATATGGAGGTAGATGTGAGTGGAAAAAAAAATGGATGTTTTTAGACAATGCAGCACTAGTCCCTTCTCCCTACCCACCTCGCAGAGTTGTTAAATGACCGTCAGCCCAACACATACCACAGTAACACGTCAAACTGATCTCAGATTAGATTCTATTTGCAACTTTGACAACTCACCACATAGTAGAAATCATGTAGATCATCTTAAGCGCGTGTGTGTGAGGCATCACTCTGAAGCGAGATGCTGACTTGTTCCTTTGTTGTGTGTGTGTCACTGATAAGCCAGCCCAAAGAATGTACAGTAGGCCTGTAAGGTGTTTTTCTTATTTTTAAAAGAGACAAATGGATGTTGTTGATTATATGAAAGAAGGAAAACGTGTGAAGACAAAGTATGTTTCTTGCAAAAAGAAAAAAAACTAGATTATAATAATGGACAGGTTTAACATTATAAAATAAGCCCTGAATATTATTTTTTTTACTAGCCCCAATCAAATTGAGGTGTATATTTAATATTTGACGAACAAGACAAGACAATGGGTGCCCCTCGTCACAGATGTCCTACCCACGACACAAATTGGTTTCAATGCTCGTGTAATACTGTACACAAAAGACAACCGTATTCTGTGTAAAACGGTGCTATGCTTTCTTGTACTGTACTCACCCTGTATGTATATTCCTGTGCTCCTTTTATCTATCCCAAAGTCAAATGTAATAATAATCAATATTTTGAAGCAAAAATGCTATTGTTATGATAACCCCCCCTCTCCCCTCTTGGTCAATTTGAAAAATAAACACAGCTGCAAATATGGTATGTGACATTGTGAATGACTTTCTCTTAAAAAAAAAAAAAAAAAATCCAAACCAATTTTAACAGCCTTTCTGGTCACATCTTAAAACCAAAAACACTAACAAAAATCACTTTTTATTGTTGTTGTAAAGTCACTTCCGCTGAGCTGACATAAATTGGACATGTTGTTGCCTCTACCATCACTGGTACTTTCTTTATTATTACAAGTCCACAAACTGTATCAAAACTGCAGGGGCCCCTAAACAGATTGTGCGCCCTCATGACACTCAGACATAACCAGTCAAAATCTAAAGGCACATCTCTATTGTATTTACAATGCATACACACATGATATATCAAATGGAGAACACACACACACACACACACACACACACACACACACACACACACACAAATCAATCAATCACTCAGTCCTAAACACTAAAATTAGGCCTCCTCCACAAACATATACAATGATGGAAAAAAAATTAAGAGACCGCCATGTTTTCTTCAATTTCTTGTTCATTTTAATGTCTGGTGCCACTCAAATGTAGCAATTGACACAAAAGACATAAATGGGTCGCCAATAAGAGTCGTTTTTGGCCATACAATGCCGTAGTTATTGACGTAAGAAGTTGTCAAGTGATTTTTGTTATTATCAAGAAAACCTTTGGAAAATTTCTTGATCAGCTTTTAAATTTAACTCTGAGGAGCTGTTTTTGCTGTCATTAATCTTTTGGTCCAATCAAATGTACCTTCAGTTGTACTCGGCATTTAAAATGAACAGGAAACTGAAGAAAAAAAAGTGGTATCTGAATTTTTTTCATGGCTATACATCTGATCTCCCATTCGGCTGGTTACGCTAGTCAAATATACACCTCACATGTAAGAATTGGTATCATACAGCTTCTTCTTTTTGTTGTCTTTATAAGGAGTTAGTGCTTACATGCCGCTTTGACACTCAGTGAAGACACATCACATAGTGGCTCGGACTTATTTAAGGCCGATTTGATGATTGTTGTCCCAATGATATGATGATTTGTTGGGAAAAGTTGCACATTAACCACAACGGTGCATCAAGCAGAACATTTAGTGCCAAAAAGCAGATATTTGAAGGCTTTAGACAACCATTAGTGCTTCACTTTTTAAGTTTCTTGTTTTGATGCTAAACTAGTACAGCTGCAGCAGTGGGGAGGGGGGATACTTATATTTTCATTTTTCATGCTACGGTAGCTAACAAGACACTTTGAGGATGAAACCAAAACAACTGGCCATCATTTTGTTGTTGTAGTTGTTGTTTGAATGGTCATTTGAATGCTGTCTGTGTTTCAAGTTTGGATGCCAGGAAGGTAGATAGAGAGTTGCTTTTAGTGATTAAAAGAAGAAGTGAGCTTTCAGCGTTTCTTGTCATGATGCTAAACTAAGCCAAGATGGCTGTCAAGTAGCTGGCTCGTGCCTATTCAAAGATGGCGTGGTCTGACAGAAAGAAATCTGTAGTCAGCAACAATCATTTCCAAAATGCCTGATCACAGGGGGGCCATCTCACTGACCCCCCCCCCCCAACCTGACGCTGTTGTACACGAGGGATGGTTTGTTAATGCTATAGTTGGCTTTATTTTCCATGTGCACTTGGAAAGTTGTAGCCTACCACACAAATCAATAGGAGATAACTGAGAGCTGTGCAGGTTGTATCCAGTGTTTGTTATATACAGTAAGACCAGTGGTATGAAAACCATATAAATGTATGATTAAACATAGGGCACATCATTATATTATTTTATAATTGCGCTGGAAATTGATTCTTACGTGCCAATTGAATTTGAAATTAAAAGTTGAATTGTGAAAATTGTTGCACACATCTTTAAGTATACAACTAACCGTTCACTATGTTGAGAAGAGATTGAATAAAAATAAAAAGACATGAATGTAAAATCTGTTGTGAAGAAATACTAATTTCTGTACAGATTTCCTGCCAGAATAAAACAAACAAATGTATTTAGCATTAAACATGAAGTAGACAAAACTATTTGTTTTCGCGGGCCAATTTAAGAAACACAATGGACGTGATCTGATCCCGGGGCCTTGAATTTGACACCTGTGATTCAAATCATGCAGGTTTGTGCGTGTATGCAGCCCATTTCCGTGAGAATTTAGTCAGATTCAGTACAAAAGTAGTTTTACTAGTATAAAACATAAGCGTTTTTCTTGATTTTATTAATGAAACCTATATAAAAGCCTCAAAAATCTTTGAAATAATGGCAAAAATGTAGAATTCCCGTGGCAAAATATAGCAGTTTCAGCACAGCATGTCAGCCATGTTTGTGGAATGTGTTTTTGCAGGACTCGCCGCGGACATGCAGCTGAAGATGACTCCGGTTCAAATGTAAGGTGTAACCTTTTTGAAAGATTTTCTTCTTGTGAGGAGTGTTTCAGACATAATCCATGAATACGTCTGCGGTACTCTGCAGTAAAGGCTGGTTGGGGGCCGTGGTGCTGCACACGGAGCTCAGCCTCCGCGATTGAGACCTCTGATGGTCCGATGGACCTGCGGCGTTGCTCAGCCTCAGATAAACCTGAGAAATGACAGCTACATAAGTTTGATTTGTGGATTCCCCGGTCACACAACAAAAAAACACTCCCATTGCACATCCCGGCATTCTGAATAAGTTGAAATATAATGAACAAAGCATCACGAGGGGAAAAACATGTGGTCTTAGAAGACAATCCAAATCATTCATGGTTTGCAGTACTTACATTCCGGGTATTTTCTGACAGAAGAAGCTCAGTCCTCTCGACCAGTTTTCTGAAAGAGGGTCTTTTTAAAGGGTCCTGATTCCAGCATGAGAGCATCATGTCATACCTAGAGGGGAATGCAGTCTCACATTTATTTGAGTTATTTGATTTATATAAACCAATCGTAAAAATGTGTATATCCATCCATCCATTTTCTGATCCGCTTATCCTCACAAGGGTCGCGGGGCGTGCTGGAGTCTATACCAGCTGTCTTCGGGCAGTAGGCGGGGTACACCCTGAACCGGTTGCCAGCCAATCGCAGGGCACACAGAGACAAACATCTATCCGCGCTCACACTCACACCGAGTGACAATTTAGAGTGTTCCAGTAACCTGCCATGCATGTTACGTCCGCCTCACAATGTGGAGGTGCAGAGTTCAATTCCAGGACCAGGTCTTCCTGTGTGAAGTTTGCATGTTCTCTTCGTGCCTGCGTGGGTTTTCTCCGGGTACTCTGGTTTCCTCCCACATTCCAAAAACATGCATGGTAGGTTAACGGAACTGACCCTCGGTTTGAGTGTGAATGGTTGTTCATCAAGGTGTGCCTTGCGTTCGGCTGGCAACCAGTTCCGGATATACCCTGCCTACTGCCCGAAGACAGCTGGGATAGGCTCCAGTACACCCGCATTCTGGATGCAAATCATAATGGTTATACTGATGTCAGATGAGACATCAGATGAGTGTTGTTGTTTGGACAGCAAGCGGCATGTGACTTGGCAGCGATGAGCTCCACCAGTGCAGTCTTTTTCTGAAACATGACGCCCATGCACACACACACACACACACACACACACACACACACACACACACACACACACACACACACACACACACACACACACTTACATCTCAATGGGAGCAAACTCAGGCTTGCTCATCCTATGGCCCTCTTGAATCAGTCGATAAAATGTTGAGCCCACCTGCATCCCGGGATACGGACTGTTACCTGCATCACACACATTCGATGTGTTCGAAAGTCCGTCTACTCACATGGCTAATGATACAGTTGACATTCTACAAATGAGTCACAGCTCTAAATTGTTTACCCAGTGAGAAGATTTCCCAAAGCAAGATGCCATAGGACCACACGTCACTCTCATATGTGTAGACACAATCAAAAATGCTCTCAGGAGACATCCACTTGACTGGAAGACGTGCCTGCATGGGCAAAAGGCCACATTACGCTCGCAATATGGAATTTTTTTGGTTCATTCTTCCACTCGAATGATTTTTGTAAATCGTTGGAAAAAAGATTTTCTTTAGACCACAACCCTTGTGTAGATTTCTCTGTTTTTGGAAGGTTTTACAATTTCTTTTTAATGGAGTCTTTAATTGCTATTTTTCTCTCTTGCAAAGAAGACAGAGGCACAAGAAATAATAGTGGCGGGATTATGAAGTAAAGAAGAAAGTAGGGAAGAATGAATTCCTGAAAGAAGTGGATAGCCTGAGCACAACGTATCCCTACTTGGCATCCTCCAATTGTCTCAGATGCTGTGCATGTGTTCATCCAACCATGTTTCAAAATTGGGATGACCATTTTAGTGTGAAAATACAGGGTCGCTAAAGTCTGGACAAAAATGAAATTTCATCCATCTACCCATTTTCTATTCTGCTTGTCCTCATTAGGGTCACGGTCGAGCTGGCGTCTAACCCATCTACCTTTGGGCAAAAGTACACTGTGGACTGATCGCGAGCCAATGGCAGGGCACAAACAGACAAACAAACTTCAAATAAAAATCTGACCCGTGTTCTATTTGCAAAAAACTCTCTGAAGGCACAGACAAAAAAACAACAACCAAGAATCCCGTGGTGGGAGAAGGATTGAAAGGGTGCTGAACTCACATTGCCGCGGAGCACGTAGCTGGAATCGGTGGTGATGTCCCGTGCCAAACCAAAGTCGCAGATCTTGGCCACCCTACCATGAGTCAGGAGAACATTTCTGGCTGCCAGGTCCCTGTGGATGCACTGCACCGACACAACACAAACACGGACGTGTGTGTGTATTTACTTTGGAACTGGTTCTGGTCGTGGTGGATCATTAGCTGGTATAAGTGTACCTAATATTGTGGCCAGTGATTAAATCGTGAGTGATGCGAAGTGTCAGACTTACATTCTTAGATGTGATGTATTCCATCCCTTTGGCCGCTTGGTAGGAGAAGCTCAAAAGATCTTCAGCGGCCAATGAAAGCTCGTCTGCATCTTCTAAAGGAAAACGGGCCGTTAGATTACTTATACAAGCGAGTCATGTTGTGCCGTCATTGCTGCAAAGTTTCACCTGACTGTGAGGACCTTTCTTTGTCCGTGGAACGCATGGCCATATATTCTCGACTAGTCACTTCGCTGCTGCACACACATACCAATGATATGTTATGAACCATCTGTGTAACATCAAAATACATTTCGAATGTTCGAATGTAATTTCACAGCAAGTGCAAGATTACCTCGCAGGCTCTGTTTGCTTGGACACGTTGCGATAGTAACCGTTGCCCGTCTGGGAATTTAGGAAGGACTCTCTTTTTCCGCGCAGGAAGTTGAGGAGGTCGCCATAGCAACAGTATTCGGTGATCACTAAAACTGGACCTGGAAGGGCGGCGCAGAGAATTCGCAAAATCAATTTGACTACAACTCAAGGACGGAGATGCTGTTTGTGATCATAAGTAGTTCGTTTGCGTTTCAGTCAACTCGATAGGTGTTTACGCGGACAATATGAAAGCTGCATGGCAAAACACCAATATTTTCAGTCTAGTCAGTATTTAATAGCTTGAAATGAGGGCTTTTCATGTCAAGTGTCTTTCTGCTTATTTGGTTTCCATCAAGATGCCGCAGAGTGGTCAATTTCACGGCTCAGACAGCTGGACAGTCCTCCTTTTTACTGCATTCAATCAGCTTCTTGTCAGGGCTGGCTGCCATTGACTTGACAGTTCAATATCTGATTTCTATTAAAAGCATAATAACTGTCTTACATTGCAGCAAGTCAGTGCTTTTTTTTTTTTTTTTTTTTTTTTACGCTGCCTCAGACAACCACGAAGAAATCAATAATTAAGTCAAGCAAAAGCATCGGAAAGACGATTAAAGAGTCCAGCGAGACAATGAAAGCATGATTCGACACTCCTCTCTCTTTGTTTTGAGGTTCCTCTCACCTCCGACCGTGCAGGCTCCCAGCAGGTTGACGATGTTCATGTGGTTGCCGAGGTAACTGAGAACCTTCAGCTCCGACATCAGCGCCTCCTTCTCCGTGGCGTGAGCGTTGTCTGCGATGACATCGTCATGGGAGACGTTTGAGGGCTCATGTTGCGTTTCACAGGCCAAGGAAGGAAAAAAAAAA